TCGTCATCATCTTGAGCATCATCATCATCCAAATCATCATCATCATCTTCATCATCATCTTCATCCTTATCATCATCATCCGAAGCAACATCATTATCATCAACATCATCATCCTCGTCATTATCATCATCATCCGAATCACCTTCCGAATTATCCGAAACATCATAATCATCATCATCAACATCGTCAGCCAAATAATCATCATCATCATTCGAATGATCTTCAGACTCATCATCATGTTCATCATTATCATCAAAATCATCATCCTCGTCATTATCATCATCATCCGAATCATCTTCCGAATTATCCGAATCATCATCATAATCATCATCATCATCGTCATCATCTTGAGCATCATCATCATCCAAATCATCATCATCCAAATCATCATCATCATCTTCATCCTTATCATCATCATCCGAAGCAGCATCATCATGATCATCATTATCATCATCATCATCCGAATCATCGTCATCATCCGAATCACCATCGTCATTATTATCTGAATCATCTGAATCATCAACATCATCATCATCATCCGAAGGAGCATCATCATGATCATCATCATCATCATCATCATCATCCGAATCATCAACCGAAACATCCGAATCATCATCTTCATCATCATCACCAACTTCGTCATGCGACACATAATCATCATCATCATCCGAATCAACATCATCATCATCTGCATCATCATTATCGTCCACATACCTCGAAAAATCATCATCATCATCATCATCATCATCGTCATCATCATCTTCATCATCATCATCATCCTTATCATCATCAGCATCATAATCATCCTAATCACCATCATCCGAATCAACGTCATCATCCGAATCACCATCGTCATTATTATTCGGATCATCCGAATCATCATCATCATCATCCTCATCATCAGCATCGTCATCCCAATCAACATCATCATCATCATCATCATCATCATCATCATCATCATCCCAATCATCATGCGAATCATCCGAAACACCATCATCATCATCATCATCATCTGAAGGAAAATCATCATCATCATCATCATCATCAGCATCATCGTCATCATCATCATCATCGTCATATTCATCATCCGAAACATCATCTTCATTATCATCATCATCATCATCCGCATCATCATCATCATGATCATCATCATCATCATAATCATCAGCATCATCATAATCATCATCATCATCATCATCATCATCATCGTCATCATCCGAATCATCGTCATCATCAACATCATAATCATCATCTTCATATTCATCATTCGAAACATCATCTTCATTATCATCATCATCATCATCATCATCATCATCATCATCATCATCATCATCATCATCATCCGAGTCATCATCATCATCATCATCATCATCATCCGAATCATCTTCATCATCTTCATCATCCTCTTCCTCAAAATCATCATCATCATCATCGTCCACAACATCATCCCGATCATCATCATCATCATCATCATCATCCTAATCATCAGCATAATCATCAACATCATCATTATCAGCATCATCATTATCATCATCATCGTCATCATCGATATCATCATCACCATTTTCATCGTCAACATCATCATCATCATCATCATCAACCAAATCGTCATTATCATTATGATCATCATCCGAATAATAGTCATCGATATCATCAACAAAATCCGAATGAAATCATCATCCTTCTCATCATCATCATCGGAATCATCATCATCCGAATCATCCCCATCATCATCATCATCATCAAAATCATCATCGTCATCATCATCATCCGAATCATCATCATCATCATCATCAACACCATCATCTACATCATCGTCAACATCATCGTCATCATCATGCGAATCATCCTCATCATCATCATCATCATCAAAATCATCATCATCATCGTCGTCATCATCAACATCATCATCCGAGTCATCATCATCACCATCATCATCATTCAAATCGTCATCATCATCGTCATCACCATCATCATCATCATCATCGTCATCATCATTACCATCATCATGATTATCATCATCATCGTCATTATCATCATCAGAGTCGTAATCATTATCATCATCGTCATCATCATCACCATCATCACCATCCGAATCGTCGTCATCATCTTCATCCGGATCATAATCGTCATCATCATCAGCATAACCGGAAACATCATCAACGTCGTCAAAATCATCATCATTATCATCATCGTCATCGTCATCCGAGGCATCGTCATCATCATCATCATCGTCATCTTGATCAGCATCGTCATCATCAACATCATCAGCTTCATCATCGGAATCCGAATCACCCGAATCATCTTTCGAATCATCGTCATCATCATCATCGTCATCATCATCGTTCCAATAATCGTCATCATCATCACTATGAACATAATCGTCATCGTCGTCATCATCATTATCATCCGAGAAATCATCAACATCTTCTACATCATCAGTTTCATCATCGTCATCATCATCATCAGCATCATTCGATTACCAATCATCATCATCATC